GAATTATGTCGGATATCCTTGTCGCCGCGAGTCGACCGCGAGGTCTCGCGAGGAAGGGTCGAGCCATTATCGCGAAGCGTAGAGGGGACGTTTCTCAATTGTATGACGTCGATATTTTCGCGGCTACGTGCGCGACACAAGGCGAACAAGTGTGCGTCATTATATCTCAATATGTATTGTCATGTCACGTAATTGTCACTTTATAAGGTTCGTGCGGCAGATTTGTCTTCCACCGCAATCGTATGAAAGTTCATCGATTTAGACGTCAGGCCTGTAAGACCTAGTTCGATTTCTGAAAATAAAAAAAGAGGAATGCAGCGAATCTTCCGCTCTGGCGATCTACGCGGTGTGTAAAAAAATATTGATTGAGGTGAATCCAACAATGAACTTCTGATTTTTTAAGCCAAATTTGGATCACAAGAACCGGAGAAATTCGGTTTCCTCCGAGTAAAATATGTCCGTTCATTATTGTCACATTAAACCAAGCAAACTCTCTTTCGCCTAGTGGCTCACTGCGATGAGTCGAATAGCTCGAGATGATTGATCGCGTGATACGACTCTCTTAATCCAAGGAGCCAAGCCTATTTTGTCCTTCGCGACTTTTCACGCACTGCACAAAACAGTACGCCGTGACGCGGCTCGCATAAGGCGCAGCTTTCCACCCCGAGCGGAAAACGATAGGAAAATTCGAAAATTCTATAGAATTATCTCTCTCTCTCGCTCTCTCTCTCTCTCTCTCTCTCTGCACATCGCGGCATGCAATTACAATACACGCGAGAGCAGCGCGGCAAAGCGCGCGCTTATAATCGCGTATCTTCACACCATAATAGCCCCGTCCGACAACGGCTTAATAGGCCGATGGCTATTATATAATATCCACGGCCGATACTTGTTCACATGTTACCCAACAAGCGTGTCATTATCGCTCGCTTTAAGCGTAAGACGCACGCACGCACGCATGCGTGCGCGAGCATTACGTGTTCCATTGTGTTGCCAGAGGCTTCACGCTGTATTCCCGTAGTTTAGAAAAATTAGTCACACTCGTTGTTCCTCTCGCCGATCCTTCGTCTTAATTAGACGACGGCGGCACCTGTTTGAAAAATCCGAACGACGTATCGATAAATAAAATGCACGTGCGGCAAAAGAACGACACAATATACACACGCGGCGAATGCGGAAACAAAATTGTCATGGAAAAACTAGCGGAGGGGTGGGGATTAATATCGATCGTATAATTGTGGGATTAAACGGTCGAGCGGTGTTGCAGGCGACTCGTAGTATGTAAAACTGACACAGAAAAGCGCAAGAGTACTCGTATCATGACATAACATCTCCGCGTTCCCTCGCATTCGCGATATTGAATAATTACTCCGAAGCGAAAACTGCTTAATCCTCCTCCGTTTAATTTTTACGAATAACGACGCGACATGGACATGGAAATAAAAGCAACGTGAGGGAATCTCAATGAAGAGTCTAAAATGAAAGTAGAAATTAATATTGATGGCGCGTAAACGAGAGAGAGAGAGAGAGAGAGAGAGAGAGAGAGAGAGAGAGAGAGAGAGAGAGAGAGAGATTATACAATGAACGATGGGTCGCGGGCGACTCGTAGGCAAAATATCCGCACAAAGGAGCGAGACGATTTATAATAAATTGTGACGCAACACCTTCGCGCTTTCTAACATTCGCAACATTCGATAATTGCGCGCCGTCGTGAAAAATCCGCGATCCTCCCGCCGGGGAGGTCCCAAGTGGGTACCGTCGTAAATTTCACACAAGCGCTGCAACGCTTAATTGCGCGCGCGCGCGCCTCTTCTCCGAGAGCGCGAGGGTTTTCGCGTCGGTTTTCCCTCCCGGTGCGTCCTTCTGCATGCATCCGCATTGACACGCTTATTAGAGGCTCCTTCTCTCCACTGGCGACTGTGCACCAGCGAGGAGATCACGCTACATCTGATTACTATTGACTTAACCGGCAACTCCATCCTGCCACCCGACGATCGGGCATTCCAGGGGAGCGAGCATGCAATCATTAGGTTGTTAGGTGATTGTGGTCGTATCCGAACATCATTACGTTGCACCATTGCGGCAAAGCCGATTCACTCCCACGGCCTACTCGTGCCTCTCACGTTATTAAATACCGTGGAAATGCGACCATTTGGAAATTCTGTATTTCTCTCTCTCTCTCTCTCTCTCTCTCTCTCTCTCTCTCTCTCTCTCCCTCCTCTCCTCCTTTCCGCCACCGTCCCTGTCCAGCAGAAGCGCTCGACGTTACTCCAGATTCTCGCGGTGAATCCGCGAGACTCCGCCGCGACGAGTGCTTGGTCCTTCTCCGGATAGACTTTCATGATCGTGACGACAAGAGACGATGGACGCACTTAATAATTGTTTTTAATCATTATGTTTCTTTATACATTCCTTTTTATTTTTATTCAACTCCGTCATTAAATCTGCATTGCACAGCGGCGAATTTGCTGAAAGCTGTTCTCAAATTTTCATATCTGCGCGACGCACTTCGTACGACATGTAGTTTCCGAGTAAATCTTGATAATCTTTTTCGATATTTCTTTCATATATGAGTCATAACTTTCTCTCTCTCTCTCTCTCTCTCTCTCTCTTTCTTTGTCCACGTCGCGAGCGACGTGGACGAGAATGGCGGATTGTCGATCAACAAGTCGATCAAGATCGGCAAGTTGCCAGTGCGCGACTTTCCCCGCCGTCTTCTTCTTGCTTATATTATAATATAATCAATCGGTCCCCTATTTATGTACAATAGGGTGCGGAGGAGGAGGGAAATCAAATAAGCCGCTGTTATAATCGGGCGCGAAACCGGTATTATATTATTTCAATGAACCGAGACGTGCGCCGATGATGATTAATAACGCGAGAGGCGTTATGAAGATACGAGCGATCCGTTATGCACTGAACAGTCGCGACGATGTCCTTGCTGCAACGTTATTAATGAAGATCTTACTGCATTAATTCGCGGACGGTGTAACAATGTGGAAGCATTCTCGCGGAAACTCTTGTAGCGTCGTCCTATTGAGGACGATATCGACCCTGCTCGACGTTAATATCGCATCGCGAATGGTCATTTCGAAGACGACAAGGCCGCAGGTCGAGAGAAATCGAGAGAAAGAGAGAGGGAGAGAGAGAGAGAGAGAGAGAGAGAGAGAGAGAGAGAGAGAGAGAGAGAGAGAGAGAGGAAGGGAAGATAGCAGAATTTCATTGTTTGAGAAAATTGCTACTTAAACGAGTAGAAAGCAGAAATGATGCTTGAAACAACCGCTAATAAGAGACAACATGGCGGACATTTTTCTCGCGCCGAAGAAATCGACAAACTGATGCGACTCCGCTTTTACGCGGAAAGAGCACGGCGTGCGCTTGATATCAGTCGAACTGCAAATTAATTAAGTATATCTCTCGATCTCAGTGAGATCCTCGCGAGCGAGTTGCGCTTCATTTCCGTAATAATTGGCCCGTCCGGTGTGTGGTATGCAACGAGATACTTCTCGATGAAGCGCGACGGAGCGCGCCGAGAAAGTGCATCGGACGCGCGCGATAACGAATCGCGAGGAAAGTCGCGTCGCAGTATTATCTGCCACATATATAGGGTGGCCCACGTAAAATCTGACGATTTAATATCCCGAGATCTCAGTGGCCGTTGAATCTGTGTCAGAACTTACCCTCATGTAACCCCTTAGAGCGCGGGTTGAGCGAACTTGAATATCCCAAACGGGTAAATTTTCGCAGACGACGTCACTATTGGTCTAACTTCTTGTGTGTCATCGATTGGAGGAAAAATATGTACATACTTACCTCATTTAGGAAATTTACCTGTGTAAGAAAGATCGTTCAAAGGAACTTGACAAGTATCCCAATTCGTGACACACAAGTGATTCTAATAATTTCTTCGAAACTGAACTGTTCTATCATATTCTGGAGAAAATATCAGAAATAAATTAAAATCTTTATAAATTGATAAAATATGACGCAACTAAAATCCTGAATTTGTTTGAGGCTCCCAACGATATAAATCTTGGAAACTTGGAAGCTCAACGCGTAAATTATTAATTTGTTAATTTATTTCTGCGGTGAGGTTACTTGGTCACCAATTGGATCGTTCACCACGCCTGTGTGTGTCAAGCAAAATTCTCTTAGAGTTTTCTGCGATAGTCCAGTTATCAAGTTATCTGTTAGATGTCCACCTTGTATATATGTGTGTGTGTGTACAGAATCGGTTCTCGCAACAAGTGGACGCGTAGCGGCGCGGCAAGCCACCCACGCTCGTGGGTCGTGCGATCAAAAGTGAATACCCCGGGCGCGTGCTTGCACAATAGCCGCACGCTGCCGAGAGAGGCTCGTCTTCGCTTTTAAAAGGTACACGTAGCTCGTGAAATTGCGCGAAGAGGCCCCTTCTTCTTAGCGTGTGTATCAGCATTGTAACCTCGATTCTTCTCCGAGACACGCGCAGTGCCGTGTCGAGACGCACGGTCGCCTCCTCTCCCACGAGCGACGGAGAACCCGTCGACGAGAGAGTCCGTCGCGAGCCAGCGTTCCTCGCTTTCGCTGGCATTTTACACACGAGTGATCTAATTGAAGCTGCTCGATTGAGCCACCGATGTGCTCTCATACGCGAGAGACATTGCCGCGTTACGACTTATGAAAATGTCTTCATCCGTGAAAATCCGTACCGATCGGCCTGGCCGATTCGAGGGATTCGAGCGCGAACGTGAATCGTTTTAATATTCCGCACTCTCGACAAGGTAAAGAGATCTCACTGAGAACTTTCAACACACTTTCGTAACAATGAACGTGTTGGTGATAATTCTATTGTATTAATTACTTGTAAGGGCAAGAAGATACAGTTGGCACCGGGAATGACAATTACTTTTTTGAGATTGATCATTCTTTTCTCTGAGTCGCGATGGGCGAAAGTGATTTCGTTCCTTCGCGGCCGTGCGAATAATGTGAGTGACAGCCGGCAGATGCCGGAAGGTACTTACGATTCGCGCACTTTTGCGGTATCGGAAGAGACAGGAATCTCCCAGGTCGGTTACTGTGCGGTCGGGCCTCGTTGATCGCCGGTTCGGCGTTGACGAACGCCGCGAACAGCACCAGGGCTAGCGGCACCAGCATCATCTGTCTCGCGGAGGATAATAGTTATTATTAGTTATTATGTTACGTAATGCTGCACAGAGGGAATCACTTAACTTTGTGCAATTCATATCGGCTTTTGTCCAATTCTTTCTGCAAACAGCTTGCGACTTTCTCATATAGGATATCTCTATGTGCACATTCATGCTTGTCTTCGCGATTGATATTGGAAAAAAATTATGAAAGCTCAGTCGTAAACTCGAGCGCTTCTTTGTACATGTTCTCCTTTTCATTTCACAAAACGATAGCAACCAGGAAAAATCGAAGACTCGAAGCGTCGAAGGTTGAAGAAATTCATGTAGCTTAATTTCGATCGAATAAAATCTTGATTTAATCACGCAAAGAGAAATATTGTTTTACCATACTCGCAAAGCGATTACTCAATTGATTTGTTCTCTTTCAAGTGACAGTTGTTTCCAACAAAGAATATTTTCTTGACAGTAGTTTCTTAAAATATACCTATAAATTTGAGAACAGCTCATTATCGTGCGCTCGAAAGAAAATCGCGCCAGATTTGCGCGACTGTACAAACTCGTGAAAAACTCGAAATAATCATCACTTGCTCAAAAAATGCAGTATGCGGAAGCGCGAGGCGAGGTGTCGCGCTCCAGAAATAAATCTGTCATATTAATAACAAAAAATGGCGAGCGCTCTTTCTTCCTTTCCTTTTGCAAGATCATTCGAAATTCGTCTGTCGCGCGAGACCGAACACCGCCTGAGAGAATTGTCAACAGGTGCGCGCGAGCGCGTTAACGGGATCGACGGTTCATTTAAATATCGATTTGGTCGTTGCGACGGCGCGATTTCATCGCGATTTATTGCGGCCGCAGTCGAGCGACAGCCGGTGAGAGTTTCGTTCGTACATAACGGCGTTGACGTACAGATATGCGCGAGCGCGGCGCACTGCGCGGACACATTCAGTTCCTTCAGTTTCCATCGGCGGAGGTTTCTCTTAGGGAGTGTCTCCCGTGTCTAATGAAGTCGCAAGACCGACCTTTCTTCTTCCTTTCTTTTTTCTCCTCCTTTTCTTTTTCGTTCTTTCTTACACACGCCAACGTGTTCGTGTCACTCGTACGCGTTACATGACTCGTCGAGTCGCGACGCGCGTCCCTCGATCGGAAATTCTTCCGGCGAGCGTTAGCGAGAGGTGAGAGGCGGAGCTAATTTGTATCTTAGATCTGTCTTAGAGTGACAATGTGAGCTAAGCAATTTCGCAGATCAAGTGTCTCGCTTCTTTTCTTAGTGCGCGCGCGCGCTGTTTTTTTCTTTTTTCCCCTGACCGCGTCAGGATCTCATTTCGCTCAGTTCAATTCTCGATGCTGTGGATGGAGGAAAGTATAATCTCACCAATCCGTCGTGTTTGAATCGTCACGAAGGCGCACGGAGTTTGTCTCTCTCGTCTTTCGTCCGCAGCATCGAGATTTGAACTCACCGAAATGCCGTCGCGAGAGTTTCGATCTCCAACGCCGACGACCGCGACGACGACGATTTCGACGTACGACTTCGGCACTCACCTTGTATCACTTGTCTCTCGGAAAAACTAAGGATAGACGTGGAAGATGGTGGTTAAAGAAACGTGGTCACTGATAGGATATGGAGAGACGGGCACCTTCACCGGCGATTATATAGAAATGGTCCCCACCAGACCGCAGGCTCATCCCACCCCTCGCCACAAGGATCCAGCGAGACGCGCCGATGGATCGAGACCTTAGTCATAATTAGTCCGGATAATTAGAGGTTATGCAGAACCGCGGATCGATTCCCGTGATCCGCCGGTGTGTCCTCGGAATCTCCCAGCGGGGAGATCGTCCTCGCGAATCTCTCGCCTCCTTTTTCGTTAAGCGCCGAATCCGGCCCGCGCTTCCAGGAATCCAACGCGGTGCGGATTTAATGGGGGAGTAGGAGACGAAGAACCTGGAGGAGGAGGAGGAGGAGGAGGATACCGGAGCCGATAATTCATTGATACAGTAAGTAATACGACTGACTTACGCAATTATTGCATAAGAGCCGCAGATGCTATCGGCGGACTACTTCGTTAATTTTCAGCCAAACCGATCGCGCACGCTTTTACGATCCGCGGAACGACTCGCGAACTGCATAATCCGCTGCTGGATTAATCTCCTCTCGCGAACGAGTATTCCTAAAAGAAACCGCCGCGATCTTGTGAAATCGGCTAAAATGAGCCTCATTTCGCGCTCATTTTCATCGTTCCAACCAAACTCGGCGTTGAATATACTGTAAATTAAAAAAAAAGGAAAAATCGAGTGAAAAGAGTTTTGTTGCACAAACTGCGATCGACCAAGCCGAGTAAACATCGGATCGGGATCAGCAACCTGACGTGGGAATCTCAGCTGCCAGATTAACAATAAATATAACAAATAAAGCGCAAAATCCGATAATAAACGACGGGAGAAATCGAGACACAGTTGTTACGTTTATGTTACAGATGTTCTTTCGACTATCGAAAAATCGATCTGTTTGCGCAATTCGAGCGGGCGCGATTTCACCTCTAACAGAAAATTAAATAAATCAAACGATAAATGTGACCGGTAATGTATCGCAGGCAGCTTTGCGGAAATCCGCTCATGGGATTAAATGTTGAGTTTAATTTACACAAACGGGAGATTAAAATAACACGAAAATTTTATCGGGGAAATCAGGGCGATTAATTCGCCGTATTTGAGATTCGCCGCAATTAAGTTCGCTTAACCGACCGCAAAGTTGTTTGTCTCGATGAATTATTTTTGTGATATAACGTATATACGTTTTGTAACACAGCATTTCTCCGTATTAAAGTATTAAAGTAAAAACTCGTACAAGACCAAAGCGCGCAGAAGAGCCAGGAGAGCTCATGAAAATTTTTCATAACCTCGCTGTTCGCATTTTTGCGAACGTAGCTCGAGCGACGAGCTCGCTCGGCGGCACGTCGAACACCGACATCGGACTCGGAGCGGCTCGGCGGCGATCGATCGATCAATGTTCACCTACATTTTTGCGAGCGCGTTTAATGATAGGATAGCTTGAAGTTAGCAGCTAATAACGGTGAACTCTTTATTCCCACAGCTCTACTGACGCGGCGCGATACCGTCATCGATTATGAGATCCGCGATCTGTAACTAATTCCCCCGTGTTTTCAAAGCCGCATGACTAATGCCCGCTCGATTTACGAGTTCAACGTTCCCTCGCCAAGTAAATGGGCCTTGGACGATATTTCCGCGAAAGTTGTCCTAAATTAAGCGCAAGAGCAAATTTGGTCAGCTACGTTTACGCGCTCTCTTTAAAACTAACTCGCGAAGACCCGTCTGCTTTTCGCGATATGCGGTCGGGTCGGGGTTTGTATATTACCGCCGAGGCGGAAAAGCCGACTCAAACTTTGCCGAAGCGCGAAAACACTCTTATCCGGCGGATCTGAAATTTCCTGAAAGCGTCTTCCAGCACACCCGAAATTTCCGGAAATCAGCAGCAACGGCAGCAACGAGAGCAGTAGCAGGCTTGTTATTAATTATATAGCAGCACTAATTATTAAAAGTCCTAGTCAGATTTTCGTGACCACAAAATGGGTCCGGAGGGGACCGGAGAAAAAATCGAAAAAAAATCGTATTGTCGACTGCCGATATAAATATCCGGATATTGCATGGTAATACATTTTATAGTTATCCCCTCATCTTTTATCGATATGCGTATATTGTGTATGCAGACTTATCTCACGTGACCACTCTGATAAGAAAAATAGCGCTTCTCACGTTTGATTTCATTAAAACTACAAGTATTTATTGTTCATCCTTTCTTTATAATTTTTCTCTCTTTTTATCTTGAGTGTTTACTGTCCAACGCGTGTAATGTTTGTAATTAATAACGGTACTTTCAGATTCCTATAAATTCTAATGTTCTTCATTTTGGCAATGACTCGGTGCGATTCGTATCGGGTGAGTGCAAAAATTTGGATGAATCTCGTGACAGAAAAATAATATCGAAATAATATCAAAAACGATTTATTCGTTCTACCAAGCAATCGCTATTGTTTTCTATCGTACATCTACACGTTCGTAACTGTTGAGATCGAACCTAACCAGTCTTTGAGAAACCCGTCGAAACTCTTGCACTCACCAGATACATTCATGAGTAAACTCAAATCGATATAACGTCCAGCACGCTATACTTCCACTTGGGACACGTTACGTGGAAAGTCAGCAATCTGTTTAGTATGCGGAAAACTGTGGTCTTTACTGGTTACCTCGTTGATGGCAGGCAGCGTTGTGATGAGCCGCAATTTTGGCCGCTTCATCACGAGATGCCGCGCCCGTTTATTAGAAGTCCCGCGTTAATCAACGTCCGGCCTAGAAAGGAAAAGCGCATTTTGTTCGAACACTCGTCGGAGTGTTTATCGTCGCCGCGAGTCTGAGAGGAGGCGTCCGAGTCAATAGTCCGGCACACTCAACGATATCGTAGATAAAAAGACTTTCGCTTTCTTTGAAACTCGACTTCACGGTGCGACTTGAATGGATCCGTCGTCGTACGCGCGTCTCTCTTTCTCGTTTCATATGTTAATAACAGAGTCTTTCTGAAGCGAAACTGCGCCGCCTTTGATAGAACAGCCGCTAAGCGACAATCGCTAAGATTTCGCTTATCGTCGATGCCATTTACGTTGCGCGAACGGGGTGGGGATACGTGGAAAAAAATCGAAAGTGTTATTACTACTTGAGTGTTATTATTCTCAACAGTAACAGGATCACACAATTAAAACGCAATTGTTTCCTAGCGACAGTCCAGTGTGCGAACAAAGAGAGACACGCGGGAGGCACCCCGTACTGTACAAACAAAATAAAAGAGAAAGTAAAAACTATCCATCTATTAGCAACTTAAAATTTTATCGCGTCGAAACGACTGTGAGCTGGCGCGGATGCGCTCGAAGGAAAGTGCGAGCCGAGTGGATATCAGCTCGAGAGAGGAGCCGATTCTCCTCTTCTCGCGTAGCTCACTCGTCGACACTTACAACGCGCGCGCGAATCGCACAGTAGTAGTCATTAAGCTCGCTAAACGCCTTATTAAATTATTATCAGCGTTGTGTCGCGCGCGCGCGCGCGAGCACAAAACCAGTTTTACCGGCCGCGCGTCGATCGGCAAGTGAAACGCACAATTGAACAATTAACGTTCCCGGCAATTAAGGCTCCGGCCGCCTCGTCTTTTCGCGCGTCTCTTCTTTATTCTCCGGCGGCACGCCGGTTCGCATTCGCGTTCGCCTTCGCATTCGCGCCGTTTCTCCGCCGCTGCGTTCGCGCGTATTTTCGCGAACGAGAAGGAAAGGTCGCTTGCTGCCATCACTTTCCCCCTTCCTCCTCCTCCTCCTTCTCCTCCGTCGCCGTCGCCCGGGCGATTCCGACGTGTTGCCTCGTCTCCGAGACGGTGACGGCCGCCGAATTTCCGAAAACGTCGTCGTACATCGCGCGCGAGAGCGCGGTCGCTATGCTCCAGCGGTGACCCTGAGGATGCGCTTCGTCAACTTTCACCGTGCTGTAAACGCGGACGACGACGGGCAACGAGATAGTCAATGTCACCCGTGCTGCGACTACTCCCCTGCGCTCCGGACTCCGCGCCGTGCGCCATTCTTGGAGTTTCCACTCCTAGCAGAAAAGTGGAGGAGGTTCCGGTTGTGTCAGACGCCGCGGGCCCGCTCGCCACGAAGGGAAAATTCTTCGTGCTGCGTTCTTCAGCGAAGAAAGCTGCTTTGCAACTATTGCAAAATTATATTGCACATGAATGGTATGTGCTCTTAGATCTAACCAAGAGATTCAGAGCATGCTCTCTGATCAAATTCACAGATCACAAATTAATAATATCACTTGTCACGCATAACTGTTTATTAGCGATATAATACATTGCTGTGCAAATGGGAAGGAAAGCTTTGTTTAACAATAAAACATTCGTGAGTGACGACTTTGTACGAGTCAGCGATTGAGAGAAAGAGAGAGAGAGAGAGAGAGAGAGAGAGAGAGAGAGAGAGAGAGAGGATGCCGAAGCGAACGATGCATTCAATGCCAAAGTGTCGACATCGGAGAGGCAATTTTCCATACGTTATGTGTTAAATAAACTTTCTCTCTATAATAATCAATTTTTAGTAATTATAATGAAATTCATTAATCTACCAAGATAATTTTACTTTTACAACATAATATTATTTTTATTTGACATAATGTGCGGGAAAAGGATCAGTTATTCAACAAACATGCTTTGTTGAACATCGTATTACATCTCGCTGCGAGAACATCATTTTGGCATGATATAAAAAAGAAAGAAAGAGATAGAGAAAAGGAAAGAGAGAGAGAGAGAGAGAGAGAGAGAGAGAGAGATACATCTATTATTATTTATTTATTGGTTAGAAATTTTTTTAATATATTGCACTTTCCACTGCGTAGCGATCACCCGATGATAGTGAAATGGTGTGTCGTTACAGTTCATCGACATCTTGAATGAATTAGGAATGTTAATGAGGGGACCATTCTCTGCCGAAGTAGGCCGAAAAGTAGAAATGAATGAAGAAAATACATTCTCTCGGATACGCGCGCGTTCTTTCTTATGTAAGTCATGATAGCCGGGATATAACACGCGTGGTCTACTGGGGATGAGGGATTTATGTCG